CAGTAACAGCCTGGTTGATCAGACTCTGACCCACACAAGGCCGGGTCTCAGCCAAAGCCACAGGGGCACTGACCCCTGTAACCCTCTCCACGTATACTCTACGTATACTCTATCCCCAAACCCCAGCACCGCAAGTAATGCAGCTGCGGCATGAAACTCATGCTATGCCCTACCCTTCATGCCAGTAAACCAACAATCTGGGATAGCAACCTCACATCTACTGGGACACCTAGGTGGACAAAAGAAAGGGCGGCCGGATATCTGCCATAAAGCATACATCCTTGGGCCACCACTCCCAGGAATCTAAAAGGCAGCTTCCAGAGATACACCCGTCACCCGAAAGACACCCAAAGCCACTCCCCGGGAGACCAGAGAGGGAGTGGGACATCCCCAGGTGATCCAGATTCCATGGTAAACTACACCACCACCACGGACCTCAACGGAATGGGATGGACCACAGTACCCTGCCCTCTACCTAGGAACTCAGAGTGCCAATGGAAAGAATCCCAAAGGCTGAAAACAGGAAGGGGATTGGGGAGGGATGGGAAGAGGATGAAAAAAAAAGAGAAAAGGGATGGGGAGTATGGGATAGGGAAGGGATGATTGGGGAGTAATTAGGTTCTGTCTGAGGAAGGAGACCAAATGGTCTAACTCCTCAGACTAACTCAGCAGTCAAAAGTTAAGGAAGCTACATTGCAGGGAAAGCATCTCCACCTGTGGGCAGGGAGTACATAAGTGTCCACTTTGAGAATTGGGAAATCTTAGAGCTCAAGTTGTTCCAGAATGTCGTCATCACATGTCCAAAAATCACGCTGAACAATGGTATGAGGCAGAACCATAGCCACTGCAAGAATTGAGAGCCGTATTTTCGAATTGTGACAGGAATATCTATGAAGTTAAGAAAGGAAAGATTTTGAGCCTGGCCAGCATTTCGCACCATGATATGCATGCACCACTCTTAAGAGCATGAAATGAAATATTTTGACCAACATAGCACAGGAGTGCTTTGCTGATACTATGATCAGAAAGATAGTGGGAGATGTTGGTTACAGTGAAAAATTTAGTCCATTGTGCACTTTGAAATGTAGTGTAAGGGGAGTGAGTGTCATGATGATCTTTTCTGGGAAGAGTGAGAGGTAACTGAAGCTGTGTTATCAGCTAATGGTAGTGGTCATTTGGATGTGGAACCGGAGGTAGTCTATCCTGAGATAGCCGAGTGATCTGAAAATCGTCGAGTGGGAGAAGCCAAAAGCATGATCAAAGGCATGCAGAGATCAGATGTACCAAAGGAGTCGGGCAGAA